TTGTTTCAAAACTAGTAATCGTTATTATTGACAAATATATATATATATATATATATATATAAAACAAAAACACATAAGCACTTAAAGAACATACATAATAAATCCGATCAACTATTGGCAACATTTGGGCTGCAGATAGCATTCCAAAATATTAATGCAGCAGCCACTGATGAACCTCTTGCGGTTTGTCAATGGTAATATTGCTGAGACGGTAATCTTTTATTTATTTGTTTAAAAAGTTTTGTATACTACATTATTTCAAAACTAGTAAGAACAGCTGATGGACAAATAAAAAAATATATATATATATATATATATCACACACAAAAAACACGCAGACAACTAGTACGTCGTCTGCCTGGCTGCCAATGGCAAATCAGCAATCCTCTTTTAGCAGCCACTATTTTAGCATTTAGACGTCTTATTTGATAACATTAATTCCACGAAACAAACACACTGGTGGTCTGACAACAGGCCACCAGCAATAATAGTGGCATGCCACATGGTGGCCTGTAAAGAGATAAATAAGAGAATATGGTTTTAAGGTATGCTAAATTTACAGGATAAGAGAAAAATATCTGGAACAGTGCATATGAAATGTTTATGGACACAGAGATCAAAACTGAATGATGACAGTCTGTTTGATGCTTGAATGCAATCTTCAAGGCCACCTTTATTACATATTTTTTGTATATATATATATAATATATTTATGTCAAGAAATGGACCAGTTTTAAAACAATTTATTTATTAAAGAAAGAACGTTCTTTTTTTATAGATAGTACGTGTGCCGTCATGTTGCAATGTTTATAATAACCGTAGTATTAATACTGTTAATTTATGTAAATGCAAATGTTTATAATATATCTATAAAAAAAGAACGTTAAACATAAAAATGTCTTTAATAAATAAATTGTCGGACTTTGTCCATTTCTTAATATATGACGTCATTTGTTTACATTTGATACGCCAGAGCAGTTATGAATGTATGAGATTCATGGAAGATTGAAGTTTATAAGCAGTAAATTCGACCTTGTCTACCGAACGGTCCTTTGTGGCCGAGAGGTCCAAGGCACGTCAGCGTAAATGACGGTTGAATGAATATTTTCTATGAAAATTTTCTCGGACATTCAGGCCGGTAAATGTTATTTAATACTGTTTATTATAAACAAAGCATTTATTAAATACTTGTATCTATAAAAAAGAACGTTAAACATAAAAATGTCTTTAATAAATATATATATATATTTGTATTTCTTAATATATATATATATATATATAGGCGACAAATGTTTGACAATATATATGCATATATACAGGACATATGTTTGCTAATTTAAAATATGGTTATAGCCATTTAAATTATAAATTTATATAATTCTGCCCAGAAAAGACCTCACAAAACAACTATCCCAAAGAATTAAACAAATGATTTTGTTTTAAATTTTTAAATTTTCTATTTTATGCCACGTTTCGGATTTATTTGGACTTGAAGTCAACATTCTTTAAACCACAATTGGTAATTATTTTTTAACTTTTCCCCATTGTATCAGTTACGAACATATATACCCATCAAAGCCATAATTCAATAAAACTACTATGATATAAACTCTATATTAATTTGATTTAATACATAATATATATGAGAAATTGCAAATCCAATTAAACTGGGGCCAACGTATAGCAACAAAAAATAGCATTGGATGGGGGAACGTATGAAATCCTCCCCCATGATTTGGACTTAAACCCCACGCGCTAGATAAAAGGTTCAATCCTGAACAAACTCTGTGTTTTTTTTCGCAATCATAAAATATATAAATATTTATATATATATATTTACAAATATATAAATGCAATCTTTCACTGTTTCTCTTGAAACAAATTTTTCAGCCCATCAAATTTTTCCGGACAAAAAAATATCTTAAAAAACTGGGGACATAGGGAACATTTGCAAGCCAAATAAATAATATCTTAAAAATAACAACGTTACAAATATTGCCGCAAAGCGTAACAGGATCAAATAAATTGGAAGGCTTTCTTGGGACATGTGCATGAATGTTTCGATAAATATTTTAAATACGCTAGTATGCCTGGTGTGGTTCAAAAACACCAAGCTTCAAAGCCGCCTGTTTTGCCATTAACAGGCGACTGTGGCATTATTCATCTTTTTTTAAAAATTATTTGTTTCCATTGTTTAAAATTGCCGTTGTCATCTGTTCAGTATATTTTATTGTGTGTATTTTACCCCGGTACCATGTATTTTTGTTCAACAGTGTTTCAATATATATATTTTGGAAATATTACTGCCATATAAAATGAATAATGTTTTTTAACAAAGATGCTGTTTTGTTTTTACCATATATCCGTTTCTTAAAACTTTGAGTATCTTTTGTCCTTCCATTTTCACTTGGTGGTTGTTTCAAAAACAAAAAAAATTACTGCTTAAAATAAACTCCATTGAACCTTTTTTCAGACCTATAACGTCAAGTCAAGGTTTGCCTGCTTGAACATTTAAATCCAAAAAAATAGATAAAGTTGTGTTAAAAATTTTGTTTGTTGTTTTGGGAAGAACTATATTTTAAAATGTGTGTTTATCTTTTCAATTAGATTTATACCCAAAAACTTTGGGAAGCCACTAAAACCGTTGTTTATTTGACATTTGCAAATATTGCATGTCTTTCCGAAAAATGCCTTCCAAATCTAAAGAAATTCAGAAAAGGCATAAAAATGTCGATTGACAAACAAAGGAATTTACTACTCCTCTAATAATTACGAATTCTAAAACGCCGAAAACTCAAGAGAAATCACATTGGGAGAATATGGCTACAAGAAAACAGTTTTACGTAAAAATATAACAGCCTAGTTGGAAATAAATTAAGTGAAAATGGAGGAAAATGAAACATTCCTTTGAGAACTGCTTCCTTTTTATTTCGGAAATTGAGGAAGTCCTTATCTCTGAATGAAACGAAGACAGACGTTTTGCCAGACTAATGCAGTCTAATTCATAAACGTATGCATATATATCATATACCTATATATGGATATGGTTTATAAACATTTATTTTTATAAGTATGTCCAGAAATGTTTCTTTATATTAAACAAGAAAATAAAGTAAAAATTCAGATCTTTTTCATGCTTTGTCGTTTTTTGAAGGATAAAATCAAATAGGACTAATCTCATTTCTTTTGTCTTATTTATTCCACTAAATTCAGCCATACATTGTTTATATCAGATTTATCCATTGTTACTACATTTGTCTTCATTTAGTAGGGTTCCTTCTTCTTCTTTTTTTTCAAAATCTTCTTTTTAATATTATTTTTTCTTAGCTAAATTCTTTTCATGTCCTCCTTCCTTTTGCATTTGGTTTATCGCCCCAAAACCCTTAAAACCATTTTGAAATTTATTTTTTCCGATCTTGTCTTTTCAAAATCAGCGTTCTTCATTTTTTCAGCTCTGTTTGACAGATCTTCTTCTTCTTTTATTTTTCATTCGTTTTTCCATCTTCAATCAATTCTTTTCATTTTCAGCAATATATATATATATATATAGAGAAAATTAAAGGAAAAGTTTTTTTCTTCTTCTGTTATTCTTTTCTTCAGACGAAAAATGCAACTTCTTCTTCTTCTTCCTTAATTGAAATTTGAAATTCCTTTCTTTTCTTCTTTTCTAATAATTCATATTCCTTTACTTTCGCCTCGTTCTTTTTCATATCATCCATTATCAATATTGGGTTGGAAAAATACGCGTCTTATCTCCTTTTGGATTTATTTCGGTTTCATTCTTCACTGTATTCTCTTAGACTGACAGACATATAATGTTTACACACACACACAACTTTATTATTCCATCATATATCATATCATCTTAATCCATTTAATATATTGATGACAGAATATATGCATTATGTTGTATGTTATGTATTCGTTTTCTTGAAAGAATTTTAGTTTTTTAATCATTCCTTTTTCATTTGTAATTTAAATAGTCCATTAGAACCCATCTCCAATGTAACATTGGGCAATAGCCAAACCCTGATAAAGATATCCGTATTTTATGTCTTCTACAGTCATTATTATATGGTCCCATGTTTCGATGGAAGTTTTTAAACAACGCTTTTTTCTTTTCTTCGTTATCTATGTCATTCTCTGGCAATTTTAAACTGCTTTTAAAATATCTGGGTTTCATTAATTCTTGAAATTTTAATTCATTCTACACCACCAACTCCATATTTTATATGCCAAGACATTTAGATTATTATTATTCTTTAAAATATATTTTCCTGTGTTCCGTTCTTCTTCGTTTTTCCTCATGTTTTAGGGATGTTTTCTTTCAAATCTGACATGTGTTAATAATTTATTTCTTTTCAACCCATTTCATGCCTTCGGAATTCAAAAATAAAAGACCCTAGTCATTAATGTCTCAGATGTAACAAACGAATAGTCTTTTTGGGACATATTAATTCAGGCTCCTTCTTTATGTGTCGTCTCATGAGGCTTAAAGACTGGTACAATTTTATCAATTTACTCAATCTAGTCCTGGAGGAATTTCAAACGGGTTTATATTTTTAAACAACCTTTTTGTAAGGAATTTAATATATTTGAGGTAGATTTGTTCTTTTTTCGATTCCTCAATGCCTTTGTTATATTATATATATATATTTTTCATATGTATATTTTGATATACATTAGAAATTTCAACTGTGGTCTTTTAACACCTATAATTTAACTTCTTTTGTTCCCATTTCCTCTAAGTTCGTCGTCATTGCTAGGTTAAATTTTTTGGTATTCTTAAATTTTTTTATCTCGCCCAAAACATTTTTTTTTTTTTTAAGGATTAAAACTAAAAGTTATCATTCCCCGTTCAGAGGACTGATGTTAAGCAAGTTCAGTACTCTTTATTTGATTCTAATTATCTGAATACCATAACCAATTCGGAATGCTTTGGGAAAGTCATCTTGGATTTATCCCATTGTAATTGAATTAAAAGTCACACTGTAAAAGAGATGTTAAAATCAGCCCATTTTCTACTTTGCTTCTTGTTTATTCTTAATTTATTTCTAAAATACCCTCCTCCTTCTTCTGACAGTCTACATTCTGGACCAGTTATTTCGTCCTTTCCTTTGTTTACCATTTGTTTTCTTCAAAATATTATCACATTCTTCTTCTTCTATTTCTCCTCCTCCTTCTTCTTTTTTCCTCCTTTAAATTTTTTTATTCTTCTTCTTCTTCTTCTCCTCCTCAATCCTTCTTCTTCATGTTCCGAAATCACATAAAGCCCGTCCTCCCGTTCTTCAGTTTTCCTTTACAGACCCTCTCCTTCTCAATCTTTTTCTTCTTCGGTTTCTCATCCTCCTCTTGAATCTTCTTCTTCTTCTTCTTACCCAAAACCCTTTTTTGTTTTCCTCCGTCGTTGCTCTTGTTCTTCTCCTCCATTGAATTCTCTGATCCTTCTGAATTCTTCTTCTTCTTCTTCTTTTCTCACGCAGGGAGTTCGTATCCTCCCTTTCTGTGTCTGATAGCAACACTCATCATCCTTCTCCTCCTTCTTTTTAAGATTGTCTTCTTCAACAATTCTCCTTAGGATCCGTCCTCCTCAGGATTGTTTCTTCTTCTTCTTCTCCTCTCCTGTTCTCTCCTGTTCCTTCCTCCTTCTTCTTTTAGTTTATTCTTCTTCATCAGACCTCCTCCCTTTCTTCTTGAATGAAATGACTTTTCCTCCTCCATTGACTTTTTTCTTCTTCTATTTCTCCTCTTCTTCTTCCTTCTTCTTCTTCTTAATCAACAAGCTCCTCCTCCGGTAACATTTTGTTCTTCTTCTTTCCTCTTCCTCCTTCTTGTTTTTTCCCTCCTGTTTTTCCCTTCAAATCACATCCCTTCTTCTTTTAAAGAGGTTCTCCTCCCTCCTCTTTGACCATTTTCTATTTCGCTTATTTTTTCTTCTTTCAATACATGTTCCAGTTTCGGTTTTTTATTTCCGACCATGAATCGTTAAGCATGAATCCCGAAATAATTTTAAATGTTTGTGATTGTATGATTATGAAATCGGCATTAATTTTCTAGTTATTATCGTGAATTGCCCTTACTTGAAACCATACGTTGAGTCTTTTTTTTTTTTTTATTTAATTGATGCATTGTCTTTCCTTCCTTAGACTCTTACCAAAGGCTAGATTGCTTTCGTTTCATCCTGTTATTTTTCCTCAACGTCCTGGTGTCTGGAAATCAAAAACGGTCATTACGCCTTTAAAATCTACGCCGAGTTAATTTATTTTGTACTTCGCAATTAAAAAAGACGTTCAGACATGATTTAAAAAACCGTTGTTTAAACCCTCCTTCTGTAGATCCAATTAGAATTTTATCTCATTTTAAAAATTTTCAAATTAGTTTTAAATCATATTAGTTCTATAGTTATTCATAGAGACACTGTGTCGTGCCATATTTTTTATTTCTGAGTCCATTTTAAACATTTATTATTCTACCATATTATGCATTGAGTACTGCCACCATCATGAATTGCTCCCGTTATTCAGTAACAAGAGACTTGATAAAACCAAATTCATTTGTAATCAACGTCTCTTTAATCTTGTACTTCAATCATTAGTTTACCGGCAATACGACGTAGTTCATTAAACTCCACCTTGTGGACTGTGGAAAAACAATGCTCTTTTACCAATTCTAAAATAATACTAGATTGGCAAATAAATTTTGGTGCCTTTTATCGTTAGATTAGCTAAACACAACCATCACTTCTATTCTTTGCGATTTTCTTTTCGAACATAAGAATAGCTAAATTCCTTCCGTTTCTTTTGTCTACAAAATAGCTACAACCATCAAAAATTCTTGCAACGTCAATCGCCATCTGAAAGGGCTCTTTGAACTCCGTTCATTTTTAGATACGTCTCCCTATTCTCCTTCTCTCTTTCCCTTTCATTCCTTGCAATAAATTTCAGTGCACTAATGACAATGTCTGCTCTTGGGTGAAAATGATTTTTAAAAGTAAATGATGGTAAATAAGTACTGCTAATCGTTTTAAGTTCTCTAAATATTGGTGCCACTTTTAAAAATCAGATTTCTCAGATAGCTATTGTCAATGCTATTGTCACAGCTATTGTCAAGTGTATGTTTCATTATAAACGTCTCAGTCTCTGCTTTAGCCTTGTAATCTTCTATAGCCACTGATGAAACTTCTTGAATCCTGTTCATAAGTGGCATATATTTATATATATATATATAAATCTGTCTAAAAGAAAAAATGTTTATAAATGTAGTCGGAATTTTTTATCTTTCCGAATTTAAATGAACATCCGGTCGACATCGGGGAGTCGTAGGGTTTAAATTTTGATTCTGATCCATATTTGATCTACAATCTTTAATTCACACACTTTAACAAACACACTTACACACACACACACACACACACACACACACACACACACACACATTATATATATATATATATATATATATATATATATATATTAATAATATAAAATTATTGATAATCCGTAGGAAATTTCAAAAGGATATAGATCTTTCTGAGAGATTCTGTCAAAAGACAGAGCAAAAATTATTATATAATGACAAACATTAAAAAACTATAAGAGTTATTTTATTTCATTGAAGCCGATAAAACATGGTTTCAAATCTTCAGCAGCTGTAAAGATGGAAATGAAGATGGAAAAATTTAGTTTTAAAAAATTAAGAATAGTGATTTATACAGAGAGTAGGGAAAAAAAAAACAAAACTAATGAAAGATCCGAGATTATTAAATCATGCTAATGATGAACATTTCTAAGTAATTAAATTGTCTCACCCAATAACATAAAAGTGTAAGTTATTGGGAACGAAATTGTAGTTGAACATTACCTTTATTTTACACCATATATTAAAACAAAGTCGATAACTGCAAGAATTTGAAGGGAAATATTTATCACTAGAGAGAGCCCGGCGTTGCTTGGATGTATTCTAGAAACAATGTTCAAGTATCCACCCAAAAGATGAAAATTTGCTTGTACTGGATATGTTTTAAGTACAGAGAAAACGGAATATCTTAATTATTTTTTTTTTTGAAATTGGTAAAAAAAACTCAAACATTGTTTTCAGTAGGCTATTATGAGTCTATTGATTGAATAGAATTTTATTATAAACAATTGTCTTTAAATGGAATTTTTAAAACATTTTGATAAAAAAATAAAGAAAAAGTGTGCAAAACTAATAAGAATACTTATAGCAGAAAAAAAATTAATGCCGGTAAAAGTTTTATTAATTTGGTTGAAAATGTAGGAAATCCGATCCCATATATAAATTGTATTGGTTAATAACCTGGGTTTTATAATAAGCAATAGAATATTTTTAAAATAATTACGAGAAGCTTTTTATAAATGCCATATAGTTATATTTAGGTATTTTAGAGGATTGAGAACAAAATAAAACATACCATTTGAAAAATTGACTAAAATTTCATAAAACAAGTTTATCGTGAATTTTTTGGTTAATTTTATGAGGACTTGAAATTTGAATGTTTTAAATAGTCATCCGAGATCCAAATAAGGGAAGGGAGTTACAAAAGATTTAAAAAAGTTTTTTTTTTTTTTTTTTGTTTGAGCAAAAGTAATGGTTATTTAACTTTGGGAAATTTGAAAGGACTTTTTGAGATGCCAAAAAAATATTGACTTGAAATTTTGCATTATTTCGTACTAGAAATCACTTTAATTGGATGGACATTATTTTGTCTCAATATTAAAGAGACATAGGGAAGAAACGGTTAACGTCAGTGGGATAACGATTTAAAAATAAAGTTTTTATGTTGATATTTGAAGCGTTTTATATTGTAAGGACAAATATGAAATCTAGGAGGAATCTATACAACTTTTCTATTGATTAAAGAAACGGTGAAAATAATGGAGGATATGTATAACAGTATTTATTATAATATAAATTTGCCATGGTTAAAGAAAATTGGAAAGTTGAGGAAAACCTAAAAAGTGAAAAACTTTATCATTTTCTAAATAATACTTTTTAAAATATGAAGCATAATAATTTCTAGATTTTCCTAAAATTACTAGATCAATACATCAAATGAAACAGAAGGGTATTTTGTGGATTTGTTTAGTTTCAAATGTCAATGTAACCTTTTAGTTGAACAAATTTATGAATATATTTCATCTTTAAATGCTATTTATTAAAAGAAATAACTTTCCAAAGGAAATAGTTTCATAATCTTTTCAAGGTACTTTTGATATTTTTGCCAAGAAGAATTGAAAAAATTCCCAAATGAATTAAAACCTTTGAACCCTTTCTTTCCAATCAAATCGCACAGAATAAAAATAAAAATTTTGAGTTTCTCCCCTGCAACGCTAATTTGATTTTAAATTTGTATTTTAATTTTTTTGTACTTTATTTTTATGAAAATTATAAGGATAAGTTTGAATATAAAAAAATCTTTTGGACTTAAGAAAAACTCTGAATTGAAAATAAAAATTCAATAAATCTAAGATATTATTTTTAGAAAAATTTTTTAATATGATTTTATAAATAAGATATATTATTCACCATCCTTTTGAGAAAAATATAGTTTTGATTAATGGTCACCAAACATCATAAATTGACTTTGAGAAAAATTTAGGATTTAAAACATTTAAATTTTGAAATCTTTTTAAAATACTGTAAATTTTGTAAGGTCGCCCAAATATTGATATATTGATATAAAATATATATATTTATATATTGTAATGTATAAAATGTATCAAGGTTTTGTAAATACGGAGATCCTTATACGACATTTTTCTTTCTTTTTCAGTATTAAGTTTTGAAGATTTAATAGTAAACAATAAGACTAAGGTTTTTCAAAATGTCCGTTGGTTCAAAAAACGGTTTCTGGTTAAATATATATAAATATATATAATTAGAATATTTTTCAAACATTTTCTAGAAAATTGACATATTATATAAAAAAAAGGCGTTCACGTTATACTAAATGTATTATTTACAGTTATCAAATTAGTTAAATATATCAAGATAATATTCATCAAGGAAGGCGTCGTAGTTTTTCATAAAAGTAGCCACATCCATGTTTAAAAAAAAAATTATACTGTTATATTTACTGTAAAATAAGTAATAAGACAAAACTTATTAAAATTTAACTTTAATTAAGTTTTAAAATAGTTACAGTTAAATATATATATTTGTAAAACAATTTATTTTTGAAAAATGCTTTAATAAAGAAATGATGTTGTTGTTGACAGTATTGTTATTCTACAATATATATATTTTATATATAAAAATAATTATATATATAAATAAATTGGTTTGTAAAAACAACAAAAGTATTTTATATTATTCAAAAAACATGTTTGAATGAAGATATGTTGCCTAAAAATAAACACACGCACACAATTACAAACACACAAAACACACACACACAACATATATAATATATATTTTATATATATATTATATATATTTATAATAATATTCAATAGGTATATTAGTTATTTTTGAAAAAATTACTATATGCGTGAAGAATGAAAGTGGCGTTATGAAATTGATAGGGCAAGAAGTATTTCTTGATATATATGATATATATATATATATATATATATATATATATATCCAACAATTTATAAATATCAATTATCAAATAGTTTACATGTCGCTGCTTTGAACACAATAGCTAAATTTGGACGATTTTATATTTTTTAATTTCAGGAAATCGTTGTGAAACCAGGATTTTATCTCCAAGACCTCTTTCGCTTTATTTGGCCATCAACGTGTAAAGTTTCACTAAAAAAAAGATCACCATAAG